GATCTAAACATGTGCACAGTACTGAATGCCTTCTCCTCTACATCTGTTCTCGCTCTTGTTTGCTGGTCAATGGTTTTACCAGCGCCAGTTGCCCAAGGCAAGTACTTGTGTATCATACTTGTACCAGTTTTACCTCGACTCTTTAGTCCAACCAATTCAACCCCTAGAATATATTCAAATCTCCCCATTGTCTTTTTCTACAGTGACTACTGAGCTCTTGTCCAAACTACCCTCTATAGACATTGGTGGGGCCTACTCACTCTTTTCTGCCCCTCCCTCACCCTCTAGCCTCTCTTCACAAAGCAGTCAGAGATCCTTTAAAAGTGTGTCTTAGTCACTTTCTTCTTGCTGAGACAAAATACCCAACACCCACAAGTTAAAGGCGAGGAGGTGTATCTTGGCTCGTGGTTACAGTCTGCTCACTCCAGGGCAGAGCATTATGGGAAAGGCCTGGCAGAGGAGGAGAGCTACTCACTTCCCGGCTGTTGAGAAGCAGAGAGTGAAAGGAGGAACTGGGGAGGGAGACAGACCCCTCCAAGCCAGGCCCAGTGACTCCCCTCCTCCATCCAGACTCTACCTCTAACAGGACATTTAGCTATGAACTCATCAGTCTATTCCACCGATGAGTGTAGAGCCCCCGTGATCCAATCACCTGCCCAAAGCCCCGCCTATGAGTGCATAAGGCTTTGGAGAGACATCTACATATAATTCCTAACAGTGTAAATAGGTCGTGTCATTTTCTACTTATACATTCTCACCACAAATACAAACGTCGAAATCTATGCACTGTGCTGCAGACACACTAAGCCCCGTTCAATTCCCCGAAGTTCTTTCCTGGTTTTGAGCCTTCGCGCAAGCTACTTCACTGTGTAGCTTCACTATCGCTCCCCACCCCACAGCCTGCCATGTTCATACATCCTGTAAGTTTAGCCTGAGTCACATTTTTTCAAAGAGACTTCCTATGACCCTAGAAGGTAAGTGAGGCCTCCTGTCACACACTTGCACTTATGCTTTGGCTTCACTAGGTCCATCGCATTTGTGATTACCTATGAGTCTATGTTTCATGTCTGTTTCTCCTCACCACATGGTCTGTCATATTCACTATTAAAACTCCAGGATCTAGCATAGGGCCTGGCATACAGAAAATGTTCAATAAAGAAACGAGTGAACAAGCAAATGCAAGGAGGTCATGCTGAAGAACAAAAGGCTTTAAATATGATCTCAGCACATGTTGTGTTCTTCATGCCCCCATGTCAGTGGCCAAGTCCACCTGCATTTGGAGCAGGTGAAAAGGAGATGTTGCCACTTTCCTCCAGTTCTTGAGACACAGCCAGCAGATGGGAGGACCTCCACGTGTAAAACTTTTACTCTGAAATAATTCACACTTAAAGAAGAGGACCGAGAGTGGCACAAAGAATTTCCATATATTCCATTCAGATCCCCAAATGTTAACATTTTATCATGTTTACTTTATAAATCACTGTTTTTTTCCTGAGCCAATGGAGAATAAATTACAGACACAATCCTCTTTACTGATAAATTCTTCAGTGTGTTTCCTAAAAACAGAATTCTCTTATATAACCATTGTAAAACTATCAAAAGCAAAAAATCTCACTGATACAGTATTGTCACTTAATCTAGAGAACGTACTTAAAATTTTAGAATTGTCCCCATTCATGTCCTTTATAGCAGCATAAATATATATCTGAGATACAAAATATGTTTAGACTGTATATGTGTGCTCTGTCTCCTCCTCCCTGCTCCTCATTCATAATTCCATCCGACATCACACTATAGGTAGCTGTTGTGTCTTTTAGTCTTTTAAAATCTAAAACAGTTCCAGTCTTTATCTTTAATTACCTTGGCTTCTATAAAGAATACAGGCTGATTACTTGTAGGATGCTTTCAATTGCCATTTGTCTGATGTTTCTTCATGATTACATTTAAGCTATGGGGGCAGGACTGTTACCACAGTGGGGTGAGGTCCCCCTCAGAGCATTCTGTTGGGAAGTACATGGTATTTATTTGTCCCACCACTGGTGATGTTGCTATTCTTTCTTTTATGATCAATTATTTCCTAGAAATGTTATGCTCTGTGTTCATTAATGTGGACTCCAATTTTAATAAATTTCTCTTTACATCTTATTTTTCATGTGCATGGAGATTTACCATAATTTCATCTTATTTACAAATTACAAAATGGTTGGTAATTGTCCCAAGAACATTCTAACCTAGACTAGTCCTGAAGTAAGCAATCTCTACAATGCCTCAAGACTTTCTTCTCCAAGGTGACTATATGATTTAAAAATAAGAATGATAAATAGCCTGTTTCAGAAGTTGGAGTTCCATTCTCAATCTGTATCCAGAATACAGGATGGGTCTGGGGTTGCCCTGGGCTGCTCTTTATGCTTCAAGACTTCCCAGTAATAGAGACACTGTAATAGAGACATCAGTGCTCTCAATCCAATCCAGTATCCCAAAGTAATACTGTTTGGTAAAAGTATGCTACTTTCAACAATTGTCTAAGCTCTGTTAGATGATATTTACCAGCACACTCAAAGTTATGAAACAGAGGTAAGGCCTACAAAGACATCAGACATAATCTTTCTATACAGAATATGCAGCATTTCCTCCTGCCACGTGCAGGGAGACTACATGCATAAAAGCAGAAACAGTGTTTTCTTTAATGAATAATCCTGAAGCAAGGGTTGGTATAAAATAATAAAGGCATACTTCAAAAATCATAAAAGCAAAGATATAAATTGTTATAAGAGCTGCAATTAGTAAATTTACTCAAGTCTTAGAAATACAGGGAAGCATGTGCTGTTAGAAGAGTAACATTAGTAGCAAAAGTAGGGGTGGTAGAGTGAGTGTACAAGCACTATTGTAAATGCTTTATCTGTGGTACTTTATTTAATTCTCAGGACCACCTTAATACTTTTCCTATCTTACACAAATTTAACAGAAGGTAAATCACTGGGATAGCACCATGGTTTTGATCAGAGATTAGAATTCTACTTTGTGGTAATGGATGAATAATCTGGGAGAGTTAACCACTGGACAATTATTGCTGACTGACCAACGATTTTACTTCTCACTTTTTTCAGGTCACCCTGTAAATGAGATCTTCCCTGGTCATTTTATATAAAATGTTGAACCCCTCTCACCCAGATTTGCCTGAGTCTCCCTGATGAACAAAGACAAAATTTAGTATGTATCAGTCAAATTTTAAATGAATGAATTGCTTTCACTTCTTGATTATAAAAGGGCAATAGTGTTGCGACTTAAGTTGCCAGAGTCTTTTAAAAAGATTGAGTGGGGATGTTTGAATTCATGACACTGTTGAAAATTTTGCCTGTAGCTAGGATGGATATTCATAACCATTATGTTGGCTATGCTTAAAAAAAAAAAACAATAAGTCTTTTTCTAGTTGCTAAAAAAAAGTTTGAGCTTATACTTAAACAATACAGACAAAATTTTAAAACAGGCAACTCCGTTACTGGACAATATTCTCTGAGCACTCACACACGCCAACCACCAAAGAAGCACCTGGCGTGAACCAGGCAGTGAAATACATGCGAGGGTCCAAAGCCTTCCTGTGTAATCCAGGATATCCACCCTTTCTCTTTACCCTACGTGCTCCAGAACTAATCAAACACCTCAAACGGGACTCGGTGTAACTGACCTCCTTGGAAACTTGTCCTGCTGCTGGGAAGGCAAAGAAAAAACAGTTGAAAATTACAGGTTTCGTGCAGGGAGAAGAAGTCATAACTTGGGGAGATTTTTAAGAAATTTGTAAGCAAACTGTTTTATAAGAAAAGCTTTCCTTTTGGAATGAGTAAAAATTGTAGCCTATTTGAGAATCTAAGAGAATTAGGCAATTTTAGGCTAAAAAACATAAAATTTTAAGTTTTTAAAGTTTCAACATAAAGCGTGTTCTTACTACTTTCACTCCCTAGGCTTGGGCATATGTCACTGATCACTAGAAAAATAGCTATTAAATTATTCACGTTTTTAAAAAACCACCTGTCATTTGATGCGACAAATAACTTGCATATTTTCTTATATTTAAGTATATGAAATTTTACTGATGTTGCTGGAACCCTGAGCATTACTCCTTTCCCTTTTAGTGTCTGTTTTTGGGGAAAAATGAAGTTATACTAAATTGATGCAAATTCTTTTTTTCAAATACCTCTAGATCTTCCAATTTTGCTTAGGCTAAAGATTCTAAGAGTAATAAAAATGTTTTCAATTCTCCTCTAAAACAGATTTTTAAAAAAGATATCAAAATAAGGGAATGAAATCACACTTCCTTTACAACATGTTTTCATCACAATATTCTCTTTACACGCTATAACCAGCTCTAGGAAGATTATATGACATTAAAAAGTGAGGAAAAATAAAAATTTTGACTTAGATTCATACTCAAACTATGATATGATTTCGTTTAGGTGCTAATTTTTTTGTGACTAGTTTTTACCCTTGCTTATTTTGAAAGAAACTGGCTACAGTATAGTTTTAGAAATATTGTTATCCCAGAAAATACGTTAGTCATTTCAAAGTTTTGAAAGTAGTCATTGTAATAGGATCATAAGCAAACTTGGGGTAATAGGCTAAGAAGGAGAGTTGTGAGTCAGTTTTGCTTAAATACTATCATTCAAACAATACTGTGACCACAAGCATTATGTATAAATTTAAAAGTCTGGCTAACTTAAAAAGCAGGGGAAAATATAATCTTTACATATGAACATATTCTTTATGTTTATAATAGATATTTTAATTCAAACATAATTTTTACTTTGGCACAAAAACCTACAATTAGACATGTTCATAAACCTGTTGGTCCCTCTGATTCTGTTTTGCTCGAGAAAAAAAGTCCTTGTTCAATGCATTAGCATATTAATTGGTTATATTTCAAAGTCTGGAATAAAGATGTTTAATGTTATTTTGCCTCCAACCCTTAAGTGACAGCAAATCGTATTCTCAATTACAATACTCACAGCTGTTGCCTGCTCTATTACTCCTCTGTCCAGCTGAATGTTCTGGCTCCTTGTATGGAAACTGCAGAGTAGTATCTAAGGTTCTGAACCCTTCTTTAAGAGAATGATGCTTGTAATATTCCACAAGTTCCTTCAGGGAAAAGAATAAAAGTTTATTTTTGATAAAGATACTTTTGTTATCACATAATTATATATAATGTAAGGATAACGGTGAATGGTCATTTGTCTCTGCTGTCTGAATGTACCTGACACCCACCAAGAAGTTGTCCTTTGATACTCAGGACATTTATAATGTGAGTTTCTCCCTGTTCTTCATGGATACAGAACATCCTGTCAGTCTCCAGTCAGATGTGGTAAATAAAAAAACAAAACAAAACTAAACTATACCTCAATTTCAGAGTAGTAATTATTGTTCTTACTTATGAAATACTTGCCTTTCTAAACAAAAAATAAAAGGAACAGCTGCTTGCTTAATACATAGCAATTTCTAGTTTCCTGCAATTTTTTTCAACATGGCTAAAAAACAAACGTGATGCTAAATGTACTTTTCTATGGTAAACAAAAGTTAGCAAAGCATATTGCTTCGACATTGTTTCTGGTTTATGATGAGGTGTCTGTGTCCATCATAGCTCTGACTATCACCTGGTACTCACAGAGGTCAATAATATGGTTCTTATTAATTTTTATTTAGTTTGCCTTAAATATATCCAAGCCTAATGTCATAATCACCCCTCATCCTCAGAATAAAACTTCATGAAATTTCTTTTCACATTTGCTTCATAAATTCTGCACAAATATGAATCTCTCTACTATAAACTGAAATTTAAAAAATAATTCATAATGGAAAATGCATCTTATTATGCATAAAATTTCTCATAAATATTTGAAATGAAAATAAAAGCAAAATCATTGTAACCTAATTATTGAGCACTTCTCTTGAAGCATTTCTTTAAAAATATTGTGGAAAAGCAACTCATTTCATCTAAAAACCACACTGTCAAGTCAACTTGATACCTCCATTCAATGATTGTGTTCAAAGTTTCCAGAACAGATGAATTGGGCCAAAAATCATCCAAAAGAAGAAAAAGAGAATAACCAAGGGTTTATTATTTATGAACAAACCCAGATATCCCATCCCCCTGGCAGTGGGCCTGCTGCTGCTGCTCTTTGTGGGACGCTGAAGAACCAGGGGTAACCAAGAAGGCTCAGTGAAGGCCCACCAGGGTTGAGGCTGTGGCTCCTCTCCATCCCCACCAGGGACCAAGGTGAGAGCCTGAGGACAGTCTGGGCACAGTGGCCTCTGCAGCCCTCAGGAGATGGAACTGCTTGGGACTCACCTCTGACGGACCTGTGCCCCTTCTTCCCCCAGCCAGCAGGGAGAGGACCTGGTGGATTCCCTGTTACTTTGTTATTTGGGGTCCACCCTCTTGCCTCAGTTTCCCTCCTATCACATGCTTCTTAGAGGCCCAACTCCCAGGCCCAGTGCTGGCATGTTTAGGAGACATTAACAATTAATGTTGATCTAAAAAAAAAATGTTGTGGACTGCATTGTGTTGGGACTGTCAGGAGTCACAAAGATTATGAAGATAAGGTTCCTGCTCAACAGAAGTTCTCATTCTAGAAAGGAAAGTGAAGGATCTCTCATTAAAAAGCTTCTGCACAGCAAGGGAAACCACCAACAGTGTGAAGAGACAGCCCACAGTGTGGGAAAAAATTTTTACCAGCTGTTCCTCGGACAAAAGTCTACTATCTAGAATATATAAAGAACTAAAAAAAAAAAAATTAGACCTCCCAAATTTAACAATCCAATCCAAAAATGGGCATCTGCAATGAACAGACATTTCTCAGACAAAGAAATAGAAATTGCAAATAAATATATGAAAAAATGTTCAACATCACTTGGTCATTAGAGAGATGCAAATGAAAACAACACTGAGATTCCACCTCACTCCAGAAAGAACGGCTGCTACCATGAAATCAACCAATAATAAATGCTGGCGGGCTGTGGGGAGAAAGGAACCCTGCTCCACTGCTGGTGGGGGTGAAGACTGATGCAAGCACTGTGGGAATCAGTATGGAGATACCTCAAAGAACTAGGATTAGAGGTCCCATTTGACCCAACTATTTCCTTACTGGGTATCTTCCCAAAATAATTAAAAGAATCATACCACAGTGATATGTGTGTACTAATGTTCACAACAGCACAGTTTGTAATAGCAAAAACTTGGAAACAGCCCAATTGCCCATCAACTGGAGACTGGATAAAGAAAATGTGTTTTTTAAAATATAAAATGGAGTACTACTCAGCCATAATGAATGAGAAATTACATTTATAGCTAAATGGATGCACACTGAGGCCATACGCTTAAGTGAAATAAATAGGACACACGTGTAAATACCAAATAGTTTCTCTGGTGTGAGAAACTGAAAGTGTAAATAAGGATCAAAATGTATAATAGATAATGTAAAATAGGAAGAAAAGGTGCAAAGGGGAAGGAGAAGTGGGAGAGGTAGGGGAAAGAAAGGAAGGAAATGGAATTAATATGAGAAAATGAAAAAATGGAAACAAAACCTTTGTAAATAAGGAGGGATGGAGGGGCTGAAGGGAGGGTAGGAGAATGGGGAAAAAGGAAGAATCAAGATATATTGTGTGAAGGTACAAATCTCCAACGATGAATGTCATTATATTGTATACCTAAAATGTACTAATAAAATTAATTTAAAAATAAAAGAAAGAAGGTGAAGGGTTGTTAAGACTTCAAAGGCACGCAAGAGATTGTGCTTTGGCATCTCCATTAGGGAGCGCAAGAGAAGGTTTCAGGGCCAAAGTAGCTTGACTTAATCTGAAGAACATGTAAAATTTCAATAGCCAGGAATGGTGGAAAGTTTGTTTTAGGAGGCGTAGTCAGGCTGGGAAAAAGACAAAAATGTAAAAAAGTAAAAATCATCTGCATAAACTAAAGCAGTATGGTTTGTCTAACCATCGGATAAAGCAAATAGATTGTTTTGAATCACTACACCTGTAAAATGGGGATAACAAGCCATTCGCAGACTATAATACAGAGCACATACTGTGCCTGATAGGATGAATAATCATAACCGCTACAATTACTACAATTATCTGAAGTGCTGGGCCCTTACATGGCTTCTCATAATCCTTAGCCAGGAACCTTATGAGATAGGCCTCATCCCTGTGGATGCTCAGATCTCAGGCTAATTGATGTGTGTAAGGTCACACAGCCAAGAGCTAGCTCCAAAATCCATGGCTTTAATTACATGATATCATTAACAACTAGTACCTGGGAAATGTACACAAACACACACACACACACACACACACAGGAGCCAAGGGAAACAGTGTCTGTTAGTTGCCCATGACATGCCAGGAACTTTGTTTTCTTAGACTGAAGATGTTAGGGTTTTACATATATTATCCAACTTTTAAAAAGTATTTCTTCTTTACTTCCTTGGACCTAGATAATGGGGGTACTTTCTGAAGCATAGGAATGTAGAATCTGACCAACTTTAAAAACAAAGACAAAAAACCCAAACACTAGCCTAGACAGAAGTTTGTATTTTCAAAATGGCTTCAAGGATCAGAATACAGCATTTGTATTATGCTGATTTTTAAAAGACGTAGTTTGCAAAGGCTAGGTTAGGAATTAAATGGTACTTAATGACCAATATGGCTATTAATATTTTTTAAAGAATTTTATAAGGTCTCTGGAAGAATGTACATGTACATATTATGCTGTTGATAGAAATGAAATTAAAGAGTTTTTCTCTTAGTCTTGATACTTAAATTCCTTGAAATGCGTTACTTTCTTTGGCAATATGTAAATTAGCCTAAAAGAAATGACGTGCCAATAGCTTTAACTTCAATTTAATTTCATTGAAAGTCATACAAATTTTGTTGGGAATTATAATTAATTAATGTTTATGTGAAGTTGGCTAGAAACTTCACTAAAGATTATACTGCAAAATTTGGTCATCATTTAATACTCCTCCCCCTCAAATTTTATAGAAGAAAAAAGTTATTTTTCCAAAACCTAGGGTTATGTAGCCTAGTAAACTGCAAAACACTAACACTCCACTAAGCATGGAAGATAATTTAGCTCCATTTTTACAGTCTTATGAGGGTATATCTTTCTGCATGTTTCAACGTAGAATTAAATAGTGCCACCATGGATCTTTTCCAATTTATGTCTTTATGCTTTCTGTATTTTAGTCTAATCCACTTCTGTTTTAGCAGTCATTGACCTTCAGGTACAACAAGTAAATAAGAAGACTCTAAACAAAAGAAATCGCTAAGCTTTCCTTATCTCACACTGACACAGCAGTGTCAACAATTCAAGTCTCTCAGAAAAATAATGAGTGAGAGCTAGTCATTCCAATTACCTAGGAAACCAGCAATGGAGATGGTTTATAAACAGCATTTGGACATGGATTGTCTGGCATACATGAAAATTAGAACAAAATTAATGCCTTGTAATCTGGACACAGAAATTCATTTAGGATTTGAATTTAATGACTAAGAAAAACAAAAATTTTGATTAACTAAGCTATGGAAACCCAAGGGAAAAAAGTCTGGTCCCAAACACCTAAGGCCAATCTTCTCTTTGAGAAGCTGGAGAATTTAAAAAAAATCTCCAGTATTTGCTTGTGTTTTACATCCTTTCCAGATAAAAATTTAATTCCTGGCCCTGTTCTGATTCAGAGGTAGAAAATCTAACTTTAACATCAGTGATTAGCAGGCTACTGAATGATTCTTAAGAAACAATTTAAACCCACAAAGCATAACGACTTGTAATGGAAACTGTGTTATTTGATAGCAACAATAAAAAAAGGCATCTCCTAGAGGTTGTATGCTTCTGATTTTAAAGAGCCCCTTCTTTCCTTCCAAAGGGACCAGTTGTGAGATATGAGCCACTCTTTTGACAGAGAGAGTATCCATGTGGTGTTTTCCTGCCCTGGTCCGAAGGACAGGACTATTGTGAGGTTCTTGGCATATAGGTATTCACTAGTTTGTAAGCTTTCTTAGATCAATTGAATCCTTTCTGGATTCTCTAAAAACACAGTGATTTTATGTAGAAAAGACTCAATAAAAATGTGTTCAATAATTGATCAGGAACAAAAAAATGATGAAGAACTGCCTCTTCATCACTTTAATAGTTATTTACCAAATCTGACAGAGGGTTTTTCTGATACTGAGATTTTTCAGCTCCTTGTCATTCTTTGTTTTCATGATGAAATATATTTGCTAATGCTTTCTGGTTTCACTGTAGTTTTGATGTTAATTCCCCTCCTTTGAGCCCACTAAAGTAAGGCTTTCCTACAAGATTCCTAGATATGAAGGGGGGAAATGTACATGCATCTGTAACATTTCGGAGATTTTACCTATATTTTATAAGGGGAGCTTATTTGAGGACTGAGATAGGTACTTTTAATTCCCTCTCCAGAACACAGTGCAAAAACCTTAATATGGTCTGGTACAAATGATTTGAATCAGGGTTTGATTGCTTTTACTATAATCACAGCTTTATATACAGACAGAAACTCAAGAATCTGTCTACCAGTCCAGGTCACTGTGGTATTTCTGGCTTTTCACATCTAACCCTTGCTGCTAAAGAACTTCCTTCAGCTGAATCAAGGTGACACAAAGCTAAACTGATTGGCACTTTCCAGTGGCTATTCTTTTCATCCTCTCCACTCATCTCCTCTAATGGGAGTTCCTTTCACTGCTTTCAAAGCCCAAAGGGCTGGAAGTCATCTTTGGCCCTGTGGTGTTTTTAGAAGTGCCATATTAACTATAATACTGTGGGGCAGCCTCATTACCACCCAAGGAAGTTCTTCTGTAGGTGAAAGCTCAAACTGGCATGTCTTGCAGAGATATGCAGAGTCTCTGAGCGTGCTGTCACTGTGTCTCAGTTGTGCCTGTTGTTCATTATTTGAGCGTCCACTTGCCACCTCTCTCCTAGGTTTTCATTTTATGAGGAAACTCCTCTGGCTCAGTTCTCTCCACACAGCCTGCTTGTGCCAATGGAACATAAGTTACTTCCAGCAGGGAGAATGCCTGGATCTTGGTTTCCACAGAGTTTACACTTTCCAGGATCTGGCCAATGTGATATTTATGTCCACAGAGGTTTCCTTCATTTCCTTTCAATTCATTTTTTAAAAATCACAGATCCTTATCTTGAAACAGTGCTCAGTTTTTAGATAAGGCATTCAACCTGGTCTCTCTTGTAAGGCTTTCTTACACTCAGTTTTAACTTTAATGTTAACATCTTCAAAGTGTTTTCTGGAAAGATGCAGTATGTATCTTTTGATTGATGTTTCAATCAATGAGTGGTCCTTCCCAATGTTACTCAAACTACTTAGCAGCTGCAAATGCATCTTGTGTTTTATATCCAAATTCTTCATTACCTCAAAAAATACCAAACTCGAGAAACAGATATGAAATCACCTTAAAGAAAATACGATTTTTTTCTTATTATTAGCAATGCATATGAGATATATTAATCATATGACATATACAGATTATTCTTGTATACTAATAAAACTATTGAACTATAACTTTTTCTTATTAACTGACACCCACAGTTTGTTCAGATTGTCCTTTTAAAAATATTTGTTTCATTAGTACATGTGTGTAGTATTTAATGTTTACATTCTTTGTGTGGAGTTGGTGCCTATACATAATACATCCCAATTCCTTTTTTCATGCTCTTTACACTCCCTCCTTCTCTATCCAACCATCTCTTTAAAAGATTACAGGAGTTAATCAAGTAATTTTTGTTCATTTGAAGCAATCTATATAACTGTACTATTCCCACTTAAATATAAAATTTCTATTAAATAGTGACTGGTGTGGGAAAAATGTAGTCTTATTATTCTTAATCATCCAAGGTATGAAAAACTTTTCACTTTGACTTCCTATTGCATTTTAATGAAATGAACCTAAACATGAGAGGCATTTTGTTAATTACAACTCTTTGTGTCATAACTTATGACACTTTCCTCTGGCCAAGTGAGGAGATAAAAGCGAAAGAAGGAAGAACAAAAGGCATATTAAAAACTTGCAGTGCATCATCAAATATAAGCTGGAACCCATACAGATAACTGAAAGTTCATATTTGAATTTGTCATTGCACCAAGGATCAATAGTATAGAATCTAAAGTATGAACTATACTTACAAACCTAGTTTACAATGAAAAATGATTCAGACAACATAAAACTTACTTGGAGTTTGTCAAGTTAGAATTTTTAGGATTTTAGTACAAAATTACACTATGATTATATTTAAATAAATATTCAATGAGCAAAGTGTCCAAGAAACTATAAAATTTAACTGGCCTTTGTAACAAGAAAAAATAGGGCTCATAGAGTGAACAGAAAAAATCAATACTTACCATTAAACTTTTAAATTTTCTATTTTCTGCAATGTGAAAAAAGCCATCTCTTGTTAAAATCTTGATATGCTTTGCTTCATTATTGTACCTGTGGGCCATGAATAACTTTTGAATATAAATGTGTTTTTAATCAGTAGAAATCAATGATTACCAGAGGGCATGCCCCAATAACATTATAGGAATTAATTCTGAAGACAAAATATATATCTATGCCAATATAATGGCGTCAGCTAATTAACAAAATATATTTTCTAGATTAGTTGAAGAAACAACCAATATTTGAACTGAGATGGAGGTTGGATTTCACTAATCATTATGGTTAATTTACTTAGTAAGTTCATTTTGAGGAGGCAAAAAGAATAAGACAATCTAGTAATTTATACTCTTAGAATTTACTAGAAATGTACACACATCAAGTCGACAAAATATAATGTTATGAAAGAAATCTAATATGCCAATTAGCAGCCTACAACACATACTACTGTTTTCTAACAGATATTTCCAAGTATTAATGAACTGTCTGGATAGATGCATTATTTCTGTTGCAATTAGAACCTCGGTTTTCAACTTCAGTGTTATGCATGTCAGATGGTCTACGCAATTATGAAAACAGGAAATCTATTTCTGTAAAAGTACTTGTCCTACTTACTTAATGCTAATTGCATATTCTCCTGACTCTTTGGTCCTGTGTCTCACAAGGTAAGTACTATTTACCCTATTAATAAGTTCAGTCTCTGCCTGCAATCTTTCCATTGCTCCAGCATACCTGTAAGAAACACAGAAAACTTCAATAATACACTTGAAAGACAAGAGAAGCTAATACATATCTGTCAAGATTATAATTTAGTGGCAGATTTGGGCTGTTTTTACTAATTGCATTTCTTTAAAAAATTCAGATAAAAAGTCTTTTGATATGTCCAAACACAAATGTTTTACAAAGCTAATAGCAAAGTGAACAATGCCTAATACATAATAGGTATTCAGTAAATATTTACCAAACAAATAAATGAGACAAAGGAGTCAGTAGTTGTTGCATCAGAAAGATGTTGAGTATTTAGGGACAATTAGGGAAAGACTTACAGGAGGGATCACCCTGCCTAACACACACACACACACACACACACACACTTCCCCTTTTTATGTATATTATGAAATCACCTTTGAGCATCTTTTTAAAAATCTAGTAACAACCGAAATTATTTAAAATAATTATTGCTTGGATATAAGATTCATTCTTATAGTCTACAATTTTGCTAACCAATTTTCTTAAGAAATCAGAAGTAATGAAACATTTTTTAAAAGGTTTTTTTCTTTCAAAACCATAATTCAGGGCTGGAGATTTAGCTCAGTGGTTCCAATGCCTGCAAGTGCAAGCAACAGAGTTTGATTCCTGGTACCAAAAACAAACAAACAAACAAAAAACAACCATAATTCAGTTCTCCCTGGATTATGAGGCTCTTAAACATACACAAATGCCATAAGAATAACTGTCATAATTAAGGACCCAAATTCAATATGAAATTATTTTGAATGACCACTCACATCAAATACAGGCATAACATTTACTGGAAGAACATATCATAGTATTTAGAGAACAGAAGTTACAGGAAAAAACTTATTTGGATTGGCTCTCTTTTGAAGCCACTCATGTTTTAAAATTCCAGAAAATGCTGGGGATTTAGCTCAGTGGTTCCGGCGCCTGCCTCACAAGCGCAAGGTCCCGAGTTCAATCCCTGGTACCAAAAAAAATAAATAAAATTCCAGAAAATTCTCTGACTCACATATACAAATATGTAACTCATTGTAAATATCTACGGCTAATCTACACTACTTTAAAAGTATATAGTAGGCATTAATTAGAAATTTATTGAGGGACAGCATGGTAGGTTTCCATCAAGTACAAAGGAAGAGCTAAGGACATTTTATGCTGATGCTACTCTGGACTAAAAACACATTTATAACAACCCATGAACCATTAGGGTCTAGTAGGATCTGATTCCTGCTTACCTCTACAACTTCATCTTTCACAATATCCTTCCACTCTAGTCTTTAGCTTTCTTTCAAATTCCACAATTCATTAAGTTCTTTTTCTTTCCAATGCTAAGGATTGAACCCAGCGCCTCAAGCATGCTATGCAAAAACTCTGCCACTGAGCTATATCTCCAGCCCCATAAGCTCCTTCTGATCACACTGTCTCCTCACAGATTGCAGTCTTGTCTGGAAACACATCCTCTATTAATGCAATTCCTTCTCATCACTCAGGTTTAGCGAGTCTTCTTGACCGTCCCATCTAAAGAAAGTTGTCCTTCATTTTGTACCTTCCACTCCATTATTCTTTTTACCACAACCCTATTGTCACAATTAGGACAAAGTGTATGTATATTTATCAAAATAGAACAAAAACACAGTCTAAAAAGAAAAGCCATACTCTAATCATTATAATAAAAAGCACTCCATCATACGAGCATTCTACTCCAACCCTTATTCCAAATATTTACTTATTTTTTATTAATACTTGCATATTATAAAATGTTTTTATACTATATTTCTTATTTTATCAATTCTAGACATAAGGAAGTAAAATTTTTCTCCTAACACTAGTACTCACTCCTTCATAGTGCTACTGTTCATTCTTGTCTTTTACAACCTTCACAAACACAAACCATCATCTGGCCCAATTTTAGCATGTTATCACATTGAAAGAACATCTGATCTTCAAAAAACTAGTTTTTGTTTGCTCAAGCTCTTTTGTTCTATCACATCACAAGTTCTTTCCAAATAAACTCCCCAACAATGCGATTCTCAACATCACATACTTTCACCTGTTAATATTTTACACTGCAGCCATTCCTCACATGCCCTTTGCGCTCTCCTTCTAGTTGATCCTGCCTGCCCTCCTATACTGCTGAACTTGAGATTTTCTTTTTTTTCTTTTGCTCCTCTTTCCTGGACTTAGCATCTTCCTCTTCCTTAGTTTACTAGCTCATCTTTTGGTTTTCTGTACATGGATACATGAGATGTAATATTCTAAAGGCATACTTTTATGAAAATATTTCATTTTACCTAACACTCAACTCATAGTACAGCTGGATATAGAATTCTAAGAAATTATTTTGTCTCTCAAATATTAAGGCATTGCTCCACTGCCTTCTAATTTCCATTCAATGCCATTCATAGTTCAGACTATTTAGTTGTAAACTGATTTTTTCTTCTTGGGAAACCTCTAGATTTTTTCTGTTCTTTGTATTGCCCTATAGTCTCTATAGAATATATTCTATATTCACCCCAAATTCCATGATAATGTGCTTTTTTATATTATTCTGTGTCTTCAGTAGTATTTCTAATTCAGAAATATAGGTCCTTCAGAACTGAGGAAAAAATTGTACTACTTCTTTGATAATTACTGCCTTCACTTTTCTCTTTCTAGAGTTCCTACTGGTAGAATGTGTACTTCCTGGATCAACAGTCCACTCTGTATACCTTTTCTCCCAATATTATCTATATCTTTGGTTTAAAAAAAACTCATTATTTTTCAACTCTTGTATAATACTTAATATATAAGAGCTCATTCTTATTCTGATTGTTCCTTTTATAAAATATCCAGCTCACTTACAACAATATGTTATCTTCTCTTAACTTTGAAACTGTACATAAAAGGATTTTTTTTTTAAATCTGCTCTCTTTAATGTCTATTTTCAAGTTTCTTTTTTCCACTTTATTTCTTATATATTTTAAGGCTTTCCTCAACTGTCTAGTTATCCTTGTTATTGGCTCATATTTAAGAAAGAGGCATCTGAATAATTATTAGAAGTTGCATGTGTGGGTACAATGGTAGACCACTAGGTAGGAGCCTGATCATTTGGCAAGAACCTGACAACTTGGCTGGATAACATCCAAATGTGAAAGTTTTAGTTGTTGCTGTTTTTTCCTTCTGAGCCTATGTTGTTTATTTAGACAAAATTCTTCAAATTCCTAGCTGGATACAAGGAAAGGTGTTATATGTATGTGAGGCTATCACAGGACTGGAAGTGAGCCATATAATGGGACTGGAGAGCACTGTCTTTCAGTAGGGAGATCTTCCTTAATTCCACCCGTGTTTTCAGTATGCCATTTCCCTATCCTCCAACATCTGGGCCCTGAGTACTTCCGTTTTGTCATATAATATACCTTCTAACTCCAGCGTCTCCTGCAAGGCACAAAAAATCAAGCTGCTGACTACCTGGAGAATGGGATGAGCCTTTGGCATGGATTTCTGTTCTACATACAGATTTCCAAATACTTCCCCAGTTTTGAAATAGTTGCCTTTTGAAATTCTAAAACATAAACTATTGAAAACAATCACTTTGATTTTACATTTTATTTTATGGCCTATATGACAGACACAATTTATTTTATGTGAAGAACCTCCTTTTAAATGGGGAAATAATAAAGAGAAAATATAGTTGGTGGTACATATTCAACTTCTCAATGATTTGAGAATAATCATGCTATTATTCAGTGTGATTTTCTCTAAACAGTTTAGTATATCTAAAATTGATGGTTCCATTTTCTGGTGTAGTTGATCATTTTGTTCCCTAGCAGAAGACATTTCACATGAAACTGTCTTCTTAGTTTGAATAAACTATCCAGGTTAGTCAAAAGAGGGAAAAAAAGTAATTTTAAAACTCCGCCATGAAATATCTTTACTGCTTCCCATTTTTAAGGCTCTTCCTTTGTCTCAACATCTTGACTTTTTACCATTATGAATAATACTATTTTAACTGGTCATATTTTCAATAGAATTTCCCATATTGCCAAAGGCACCTTTTAAAACAGGGTACAAAATCCATCCTTTTGTGCCCTGACTGCTTCCTAGGTACTTGACGAGCTCATTTCATAAATCCATGTGGTTTGGAGCATCAGTATTTATCTCTAAAATCAAGACCCTTGTAACAATAAAGCCTAGTTACATGAAAAACAGAAAGAGGAAAGAGAAGGAATCCAATCACTATACTTTATGATTTTTATCAAGTTGTTATTTTTTTAGTCTGATTGTCCAAATTTAATTCCTGTCAAGACTATAGTTTTAAATTCCACAGAAACTAGGACCTCAAAATGGTCTTATGTCAAGTAAAAAATGTAGCAAGGACTCCCAGTTCTATAACAAACCTGCTACAATTTCTTGAGCAAGCTCAGTGCTGAGGCCCAGAGGGATATAGCAGAAAGGAGAGGTAATGACTATGAAGGTAGAAGTGACTCCAGAGATAGTGAGAGGGTATAAGGGTGAAAAATTCCATACTTTGGGCAACTGATTCCTAGTCACTGAAAAGTTAGCCTGGTGTTTTGTATATTTTGATCACAGAAAAGAAAATAACCAAATAATTTTTAAAATATCTGACAACTCCGGTGGTATCTACATTTGTTGTTTTTTTAAAAATTAATTTTATTGGTACATTTGAGATATACAATATAATGACATTCATCATTGGAAATTTTCACCTTTACATAATCCATCTTGGTTATTTTTTTCCCATTCCCTTGTCTTCCTTCAACCCCTCCACCCCTCCCTATCTACAAAGACTTTTCCATTTTTTTTCTCATATTAAATACATTTGAAATTAAATTACAATATATACTCTCAGGATACTTTATTTATATTTGTATCCTCATCTTTGATTTGTATGCACGTGCTTAAATATCAGGAACACATTCAGTCATTTTAGTCATTTTAAGAGGAATCAAACACAAATTCAAGGAAACAAATATAAATGAATAATATGCCAGGTTTTTTGATTTGGGGGGCAGTACAGCACTGCGCAGATGGTATAACCTGGAATCCTGGCTACCACTCACAAACTGCATGGCCTTAATCTTTTTTTCCTCATCTGTAATAATAATAATAGTGTGTTTCAACAGTCTTCCTAACATAAACGTTAGGGAAACAAAATGAAACATGTAATACACTAAACACATCCTACATAATCAATATGTATTAGTTATTTTGATATGGGGGTGGTTATAACTATTCTGGAACCTAAACATAATTTTTATAGTTGAAGATATCTAAAAAATAATAATCACCCTCTGCTAACATTTTTGGCTGTTAATTATATTGCCAGCCTCCAAATGGAAAGTGCATTCCACCTAGACCCATACAGACATGGATATATTGCACTGCTTCCACATTACAAGTTGTAAATTTCAGTTTTAGAACCTACTATCCTCATGAGCTAATTTTTAGTTTTAAATAATGGAATCACATTATTGTATTTCTGCTTAATGACATTTATCTTTCTGTATACATGATACATATGTGCCTATGTCCCATTTCTTTCTGTGGCTGTTATATAAACTTATAGTTTATAATGAAGTACACTCATATGCACAAGCACACACCCACACACCACTCTCTGATAAAGATACAGAAAGGTCAGCAATATATGGATTCATTATAGTGTTTTGTTACATCCGAAAATACCTTCAGCCAGGACAAATGGAAGTGGAACATGGTTTATTACTAAGGCGTCCCAGAGCTAAGGATATGGTATTTCAACTTAGCTACATAAACATTTTTAATACTTACCAGGGTTGGCAAGAATAATCTACTGGTTTGGGCACCTAAAATATAAAAAGGTGAAAATAGATTAAGTTTACTTAAGGGAAGCTTTAGAAATCAATCATTAATTCAGTTCAGCTGACTCAGCTCTGTAAAACCCTAAGTACCAGAGTCCCGGAACTATCCATTGGTAATTCTGTACAGAATGAATCATAGCATATGTCAGATAAGTAGAAAATAATTCATTTCACTTTAATTCATTCTTTCATTCATTTTACTGCCACTCTACCTCCAAGGGAGGAGATAGCAGGAAAATACAAACTAGAAACTTTCAATATTTACTATCAAGGCAATTTAATCTTATCACAGAAAACTAAAATGAAAATGTTATTAAGGAAATCAAATAGCACTTCACTTTCCCAAGACACTGGAAAAATATGCAAAATAAACAATATACACTGGGTGTAGACTGAATCATATAACACAAATTCTAAACTCTGTTTTTAAAAAATCTCCCAACTGGAAAACCTTTTATTTGGGAAAATATCCATTTTCCCTTTTCTCATATAGAGCTTTGCACAAGAGAAAAACGTTACACTTTCTAAGCATATAAAGAAAGAAAATTTCTTCTAGCTGCTGGCAACTAAAAAAGAACAAAGTCAAAAAAGATATACTAGTATTCATAAAATAACAAAATACATACTACAGAGAAGGGGATAATTGTAACTTCCTCAGACAAGATGAGGTATAAATTTTCTTGTGTTAAGAAATTTTTCATGAGTTATCTAAGTCTTTTACATATACATTCCATAGTATTTCTAAGCCTTTGTATGTTGGTTGATTAAAAATTCTATTACCTTTACTTTTAATAGTAAACTATAGCATTTCAGAGATCTGGTCAATAGAAATATGTCTGCAGATATGCCAGTTTTCATAACAGATTGATACAATTTTGTTCTTCCAGAGTTATATATTGAAAAATAATGTTCTGGCCAGAACATTCCTATAGCTATTAATATTTAAATATTTTTAATCTATGAGTTATATTTTTAATAGCAACACTTTGTAAAATCATGATACACAGCAATTATTGAAGATAAAATACCCATTAAATTCTGCAAATTTTTCATATCATTTTATTTTTGCAAATATAAACTGATCTTCAACATTTCCCCTTTTGATAAGATATACATGGTTTCTGAACTGAAAAAGAAAAATAATCTTTCCTCTTTCCCTTGTCTCTACCACTCCATGGAGGTGGGGGGAGGGGGGGAGGACAGAGGGGAGAGAGGAGAGAGACGGAAGGAGAGAGGGAGAGAGAGGGAGACAGAGGGAGGGAGAGAGAGACAGAGAGAGGCAGGCAGAGAGAGAGAAACTGGCGCTGTGGAGTCCTTTGACTGCTACAGACCTAGAATGTTTAAGGGCCACATATAACTCTGCAGTGGAAGAGATAACAGGCTGTTCCAGCCTGAAGTGTTCTACTGGAGCTTTCCCTCTCTTCAGTGAGCATATTTTGATATGTGAAGATCCAAGACTACTTTCTTGTCCATGATCCCCATAACTAGAGCGAGGTCCTATTCTCTTCTGTCATGGGCCCTCCCCATTTCTCTTCTGTGTACTTTGGGTCCTTGTCTTGATAGATGCTTCGTATTTAAGACTATGGATAAGTTCCTTCTGGGTCCTCTCAGCTTTTATACTTAATTTATTGCCTAATGCCATTTTCTGTCTTCTCTGTAGGCAGTTTGTGTCATTAAATTTCTGCTACAGACAAATAGTTCTTAAAAAAAAATCTTATTGAATATATAGCTCACATGATATGTTATTCCTGAGTACATCATATAAAGTTAGGAGAGACAATTAGAAATGATCTTTCTCTGTTTTGCTAGAAGTGTCATTTAGGAGAGTTAAACTTTAAACTGATAGCAATTTTCTTCTCTTAAAACATTCAAAATATTCTTCCTATTTCAAATATTATAATTTCATGTTCCAGAATCTCCATTTGGTTCTTTTTTTATAGTTCCTATTCCTCTGCTAAGGCTTTTAGTCTATTTACTCATGATGATCACCACTTTTCTTACAGTTACAGTAGTTGCATTTTAAAATCTTTTCCTGCTAATTCCATCATGTAGATCATTTCAAGGTAGATCTCCATCAATTGCTTTTCCTTTTCAGTATGATTCATATTTTTCTATTTCCTTGTACAGTGAGTAATTCTGGATTGTATCTGAAATAATTTGAATGATATACTATTATTCAAATTGAAATGCTGGATTCTGTTCTACTACAAAGAATGTGGTTTTTCTTAAAGCAGGTATCTAACCTAGCTGAACTTTAACTCTAGAGTCTACACCTCTTGTGTTAAGTGACTGATAAATTCTCAGTTTAGTTCTTTCAGTGTAGCTAAGCAGTTCAGAATTTCATCGTTTACCAAAGACTTGGGCAAAGTTTATATATGGAACTTGAGGTTCCTCTCTTGTTCCTTCCTTCCTATGATTTCCTATCTCCCTTTCCAGTTGCTGTGCTTGCTGCAGACTCCATATTCTGGTTCTTCAGGCCAAAAGTATCACATGGTTTCGATATGAATTCCACCCATTCAGAATGCTACGACCTAGTCCCTGCCCTCAAGTTAGCTATAAACCAGGAAACTCAATTAATGCCCTCCTCCAATTGTCTGCTCTTCCTAGCCAGTGCCTTCACAGATACTTTTATTTTTATATTGTGTCCAAAGCTTACAGCTGTTATCTGTGGAAGGTTTAGTGTAATAGGAGCTAATTGAAATTTTCCAGAAGTAGAAACTTGTTGCTTCCATTACTGCTGCTTTTAGTTATGTATCTGATCATGAACTCTTTACAGGCACTCTTTTACTCTTAGGTTGGTTTTAATGTCCTGAAGTTTCATTAAGATGTGTCAAGATGTTGATTAATTTTAATAGACTTTTTTATTCTTTTTTTTACTTTTTTATTCTTAATTTTATCATAGACTCTGGAAAGAAATCAGTCATTACTTATTTGAATATCTGCTTTGGCACAATCATCTCTAATCTCTCCTTCTATTAAATGTATTTGAATCTTATTACTTCATTCTGTTACATTTTCCATCTCTTAATCTCTTCGAACTGTTCTCTGAGACATTTCTTCATATATATCTTCTAATTTTCTTCACAACTGTATTTGATGTGGCATATAATGTGCCCATTAAGGCCTTGAATTCAACTGCTGTATGTGAAATACAGTGATTTGAAAATAGTGTCCTGTTCTCCTCTTAGGTATTTAATTCCTTTGTATTTCTTCAGCCACATTAAATATAAAATTTTGAATTTAATATCAAGTAATTCCAGTATCTGCTGTCCTGGGGGAGAGGGGTCCAATCTATTTTTTATTATTTCTGTTGACCTTAGCTTAAAATGGTCCATTTTTTCAGAAATTCAATGATTGCAAATGGTGAATTTATGTTTGCTGGGACTTTATCTGTAAAAGTTCTTTGAGGATTATGTGTAAAGAGGCTCCAATTCAGAGAGAACCTGGGTTTCTCATCGGGACCCATGTAGAATAATTTAAAACTATATCTCTAGCTTACAATATTAGATCACAGAGCTAGGAGAAATTCCAGGCTGACATTTGGACTGATTTTTGGATTTAAGGTTAGTAATTCTCAGGGGAAAGTGTTTTTATTTTTTTCCTGCTCAATCCAGAGCCAAGACAAGAGTAAGCAGTACGTTCTTCTGTGAGATTTTTTTTTTTCCTACCTCACTCATGGAGGGCTCCTAGATTCAAACAGATAACCAAGTTTGCACTATGCTATAGCTCTAGGCTGTGTTTCCAGTCATTAAAGTTTCTGGTCATTAAATTTCCCAAAATACACAGTCTCATTTTTTGTGTCTCTAGTGTTTTCCCCACTTCTAGGTTCCTACCTATGTACATTAGAACTTTTGAGACCAGTATAGCACATTCAGGCAAATAATTTTTTTTGTTGTTGTTACCGGGGATCGAACTCAGGTCCTTGCGCTTATGAGGCAGGCGGCAGAACCACTGAGCTAAATCCTCGGCCCCCAGGCAAATAATTTTTCAGCTCAGAATGAAATGTTCAGCACTACTCATGGACCTCTAATAGTAATATATTCCAGGGTCAAAACATTTTCCAAACTCCCTCTACTTATTCTCCTTTATCTCCCTCTTTCTATTTATTTTCACTTAACTTGTCCTACAATCAACAAAAAAATAAAATTTTATCAGTTAAGCAGTAAAATTTTAATGGCTACTTATTAACTTTAAGGTACAAAATGACCATATTTATTTAATTGCTTTATCCATAATTCTGCATTATTCTACAACTGCTTATCATTTTAAAGTTCTCTCTGTCTAGTCATTTATTGGGTCACCAAATATTATTCCATAGGATTCTTAAGCTGATTTTATTAGTACCCAACATTACACATAACTAGAGATTTGCTTTCTTTAACATTACATATAACTAGAGATTTGCTTTCTTTCTCCTTTGTTCATTCAGTCAACAATAACTTTTAAGTACCTATTTTATGCCCGACTATTTCTAAAATAAAACATCAAATGCTTATTTTGTGCCATACTAAGAGACCATAAACAGAAAATAAAATATGGTATATTAAATGCTTAATAGTCTTGATTTGCTGCCTTAAGTCCTCAAACATCTTAATGTCAAAATGCATAATCTCTTGCCACATGCCTATAATATAAACACCACTGCTTTACACACAGGAAGCCTAACTCTTACTCCCATAAATGACAGATAACTAGCCAAACAATCATTTTTGCTTATCTAATTAAATAAGAGTAGTATCATACTTCAACTTCTTTCAAAGTTATAACATTATTCAAGACCAAAGAAGTGACATTAGAACACAAAACCAACAGAATAACAAATTGTTTTTTAATTTCCTTTGCTTTTGAAAATAATAAAGCTTGAGTGGAGTACAATATCTTCGAAATTACATTCTGAAATCAAGAGTAGCAAATGTTTACATTTTTAATATTAAAGAGAATGTCCACTTTAGAAATAGAAGAACTATTGAAAATTAGCAAGCAAGAAGGAAATTAGAAAGATAAGGGAGTTTTGAGTATTTTTCAAGCAATCAAGTCCATCATATTAGTAAAAAAATTTTATTTGCTTTGGACTTAGAAAACTTAAAAATGAAAATTAAAAAGTTTTGGGAAAAATCTACCCCCAATCTAAAATTATAAAGGTAAAATCATGACACCCAACAAAAATTTATCAATATCACGAAGTACCAGAAAGTACATTTTATGTTATATTCACTTATCTTATTTGAGTAAGTACTAATTCATTTTCCTTTTATTTGTTTGATGTTATCATAAAACTTAATTATGGTATTAAATAAAAAGCAATGGCAAACTAGAACATAGAAAATTTAAAGACCTGATTGAGGAATTTGTGATTTTCGCTTCCTAGCATGCTTCCCAAGACATCAAATCAAATCTATTATTTCCCATCAGATGAAGTCTATTAGATTATTATTAATCTAACCTAAATGACTGGGAATAGATTAGACTCTACTACTCTTACCTTAGTGAGACAAGGGATACTTAAATAATATATCTAATCCAGAGCTTTGAATTAATTCTTCTAAAATCTTTTTGACAACTTAATTTTGTAAATTCTATTAAATTAAATTTTCTTCTTGCATATATTAACATTTAAAAATATTTTCTGACTATGGAATCTTAATAATGTGGAAAATAATATGATCCTTACAGAAAGTGTTAATAAAATTAATGAGTGACCTGGCAGTATCTTTTGTACATTCTTGCACAACTAATCACAGCATCAAAAGGAAAAGAAAATGAGAAAGACATAAAATAATAATACTTACACATGGGGAAGGCTTAACAGCATCACTTGGGAAAAATCCAACCTCTCCTGATGCTAAATTTCTACCCTAAATTAGAAAAGAAATTCCAAGGTTGAGGGCAAAATGGTAATTTCAAAACACTGATTACATAGTGGTGTTACTTAAGATCCTCAGAATTACTTATTTGTTTATCTAGTTCTAAGCATGATCTTACTGTGGCTCAGGAAAGAAAGCAAAGATGAAGATGCTTTTATTAAATTTTAAACTTTACAATGGTTTTAGGTAATGCCTATAAATAATCCAAATTTATTTTTCAATGTACCATTTAATTCTTTTACCTTTTAATCTCTCAATCCTACATAGAGATGGCATCTAAAGATAGCTAACACTTATTGAAACATTATTGTATGCTAGACATCGAGGGTTTCATTTAATTCACACAATGATCGTTTACAGTAGATTCAATTACTATCGCCATTTTACAGATGAGGAAAATGAGATGCAGAGAAGGTAAATTATTTACCCACAATCACAGAGGTGACAAATGCCAGAATCAGAATTCCAACTCACATTTCTTATGAGAGCTCTGTGGTGCCTCTGTAAAAGTATAAGACTCATAAAGGAAGGCAGTGGAAAATAAAGTTAAAAGGTGGCAAGAACCAGTCTAACTATGATATCTGAATTTTATCATTGCTGATGGTGTATTTTAGAATATACCTGGCATTGATGTGAAGGATGGCTTAGAGTTGGGCATGGCTTTGCATTTGAGAATATATTAAGAAGTGGAAAAGGAGAAACAGGTGCTCAGGACATTAATTAACTGAAGTCTGTGAGACTGCCCTATGGTTAGATATGGACAGAGTGGGTAGGAGAGCGGGAGAAGTGTCAAGGATGGGCTGAGGAGATGATTCCATAACCCATGCAAACAGATAAGAGAGACTTAGATGATAGTCATACAGAGGAGAATCAGAAAATCAGAGGAACAACACTGTCAGGGGAGAAAATGTAGAGACAATAAGACAGAACTTAGAGAAACTGGTATAACCAGAAAGCAGAAAGTGTCAGGAGAGGAAAGAATCAGAGTAGGGAGTGACGACAGCAGAATAACTATAAAGGTGGAATGAGCTGTATTTACAGAGAGCTTGATGGTACTTTATTACATGGATAACAGAGGTCCAAGTAAATAAGAATGATACTTGAGGACAGTATCACTGGCCATACCTCTATGTAAGGGCACTATAAGACTGAGTATAAGATATATGGGTGGAGAGGTGGGAGCTGTACATTGACTGAACTCAGAAAATAATATGGACAATTTTTCTTAAAGAAAAAGAAAAAACAAGGCCCTTGAGAATGTACTAAAAGAAAGAAGTCTCTTTTGTAGAAGAAAGGCCAGAGAGATTTATAATGATTTTTCCAAATGATACTTAAAGGTTTATCAACAAATGGAAAGTTATGGCTCTTACAAGAATGTGAACTATCAACTCCCATTCTTTATTAGAAGAACAACAGAAGGTCATTGTATAGAATGTGGAGTTCAGGAGAAGCAGTGATATTTTTGTGACAGTGCATGACGGCCAATGTAATATCATTTACTTTCTCAAAGCGATACTGACTTTCACTTTGTTCTTCCTCCAAAACTCAGTTCACACATCAACTACATCACACATCACACTTCATCTACATCATCTCTTCCAGGAAACCTTCCCAAGCTGAAGATCCAGACTGAATTTCCTGCCTGTCCTCCCCGTGCACCCTCATGTCCTCCTAGTACTACACAAAGCAGTAGTATTACAGGACACATCGTTAGGAGAATCTACCATTACTGTTCTACACGGTTCTCACTACTAGAAGAGTGAGTTCTTTGAGATCAAGGTCAATGTCTCAGTAATTTTTCTATAACCCAATGTAGAACACATCACAGACAATGTGTGGTGAGGTATTTCTCCAGCTGATAATCCCATGTCACCAAGTAGTATGACACTTCTTCAATGAAAAGAAAAAAATATACATTACTCTTCATTTTTACACAGGCAACCACTAAAAAGCATTATTCTGGTTGTTTCTATATGTAAATATTACTGTATACAGTGACACTCCTTGACCTGTCTCTGATATTTTATAGAAGGAGTGTGTACTGGGCGTGCAATGTCATCAAACAGACAGGAGTGATGAGAACACAAAGAATGAAGAGTAGGAGACATTTTATAAGAATTTCATAATTTATGAAAGTGTATGGACTGGCAGTTTTCTCATTCTTCCTTTGTAGCAGAAGTGGTCCATAAAAGGCATGAATAAAGCTAAAATCACCTTAGATGGTTGAGGAAGGGGCCAGGGTTGTATAAGAAATACCCCCAAACTGGATTAACATATAATTTTCCAAACCAGGACCTTTTGAGAATGAAATGAAGAGTAATAATTATGCAAGGATAAAAGGTATAAATTGAGACTGCAGTGGGTGTCAATTGATGATTATAGCACCTGTGGTCATCATATCAAAAACCATTTTGTTTTTTGTCACCTCACTTCAAGGAACCATCAGAGGTTTTTCAGGAGGAGAAAAATTTCACCATTGGCATGGTCTTTCTGAATTGCTTTTAAAAAATTAAATGTTGTAGTAGGACAGTTACATTTCCTTAATAGTCATACACATTCCTTAGATGATAGAGAGGTGAGAGATAATTTAATCTATCTTAATACGTGAATAAATTTACAATTTCTCAGTGATTTCTGTAAGACATCAGTCTTAGCCACAGGAGCAAAACATGTGCTGTATTTGATGATTTACCCTTATTAAGGAAATAGCCATCCTACAACATTTGGAGAATTTAAAACAAGGTAGTGTGTAGGAGGGATGTCTTTGGTTCCTTGGTGGATGTGTGTGGGATGTATGCTGGTAATTCATTAATACTAATGGGTGGAGCAGCTGTCAATCCCCTACGCATGGATGGAACTGCAGGCTGTAACTATGAAATAAACCACCTTCAAAGCTGATGATTTAGTGTATTTAATGTGATGATCTATCTATGAGATTTTTACTAACCTTGATTGGAGACATGTAAGTGAATTTCCTACTTCTTTGTATTCCTGTGTGGGCATTTTATTCTGAGTCAGATAATCAGCTTGCCATTGTTTTTATGCCTATTACAAATGCCAGAGATAGAGAAGCATCTTTTAGTTATCTTCCTATCTGATACTTGTATTATGAGTTTCTCAACATCAAGGTCAACCTGAAAACATTTCTTTTTCATACTATGTGTCATACCATAGTGCTATCTTCATATGCATTTAGTCTGCAGGGTTTCTTTGTATTGTGTTTTGTAAGCTTAACTTCTGTAAGTTTAAACATTACAGAATGGATAATTTTCATGAGAATATTTTCTTTGGAAATTACCTGAGAAATCGATTGTAGGTTGCTTATGGTGAGAAATGATGCACCTTTATAAATGCATTAATAAATACACTGAATCAAACACAAAGAAAATAATAAATTAAAATTCATAAAGTAATAATGCCTTTTCCCTGAAAAATAAATTCTTTCTCTTAGAAATATATCAAACTAAAATTATTGACAACTTTTTAAAAAAATTTTGAACATCACAAATAAAAGTGCATAGTCAGGCACTTATTTCTAACTGAACTTAGGTTTTAACTATTCCTCATTTTTCATCAAAAAGAATCCACAGTGAATCATAATGAATTAAATCTACTTCAGAGTCTCTGATATAAATGAAACTTACAATCTACCTGTACAGAGAAAAACGTTAATGTATGCCAGGATCCCAGAGCTAAAACTGCATTTTTAAACCCATAGACAAGGAAGGCTTAAAATGATAGAGTATATCCTCCAAAAATCTTAATCATAAATTGCTTGGTTCCTAACTTTGTAAAAATAAGAAAGAATTGCTTTTAAAAAAATACTGTGTCTCTTCCCTGTAGCTCATTTATCCCCTTAATACTACCTGGATTGGAGCTTTAATGCACTCCTGGAATAGCACTGAACAATTTGAAACAGATGTGGAAAGCTAAATGTAAAAAGGACAGATTAATGGTTATTTATGAAAGATTGGAAATTCTCCCAAGTTACAATGCCCTAAACATTTTCAACATATGCACGATGGTGCTGTGGAGATTACTAAGCAATTTATCACACATAGCTAATGTTCAAAGCAATTGTCACCCTGCCCCTGTACTTTTCCACTGTCAGAAATACAGTTTGAGCACTGGAGAAGGGAAGGGGAAACTATATAGTGTGTCCATAAATTATGTGAATATAAGCAGATACACATACAAATTAGTTTACTGACTGGATGTGTGGATGGATGGGCAAATGGATGGACAGACAGATTCAAACATTGTTTTTAGAATATTCTGGTAAGCTGTGTATGATCAACTAGTGAAATAAAAGGTCTGGACTAGCAGAGATGATCAGAAGATTACCCAATCTAAACCTGGCCTTTGGTAAGGAGTGACATATGATTATAGCCACAGCCATACTGCAATCATTGTCCTCAGATGCATGTCCAGGCTTGTTCTTGAAAAACATAGAAAGGAAATGTCATAGGGATATGCTATCAGAAGAGTTCATTTTATTCCTAGCTCAGCTATAAAAAGCTGTGCAATGTTAGGCAAGTCTCATGATAAAAGAGGAATGATAGCAAGATAGGCCATGCATACCTCACCAAGTTGTTACAAAGACTGAAGGACTAACAGGTGTGAAGGCACTCTATAAATGCTAAGTACTTCTTTTCTATTTTATCTATGACATCACTCTTCAATTATTCTCAACTGATTTTTTTATTTCTTAATTTTAATTTTTAATTGGTCTATTCATGTGCTATTAAATCTTATCTATTATGCCTAATCTTGCCTACAAGGCCTAATCTCATCATTCTCCTTATATTTAGGAAAACTAAGCCATGAGTAACATAGATCCTCATATCATTTTCACCGGAACAGGAAATATTACTCAAACATTTTTGTAAGTACATATAAATATTGTTCCATCATTAACTGCCTCCTACTTAGTAAGGCATACACTTTCCTGGCAGTGAACAGTTGGAAAACTTGCCAAGCATAATTGTATA